TTTACATATGTGTACCAAATTTCAGAGTGATCTGTCTGTAAATAGCCGAGATAAATTTTAGGGTAGACGCTCCCCTTAATACAATTCAGAATATTCGCAGCACACGCTGCATCACGGAGTTTAAACATAGTTGCCTTTTGCAAAGTTCAAACGTTCACGCTTCCGAGGTGTCTCTTCTGTATAGCGCTCAATACTGAAAAATAACGATTGGTGTTGCCTTTTGCCCAACGGAGCCTCGTGACGAAGCTCATCTAATATTAATTCTTCACTAGTAAACACTAGATCTGGAATATTTGGGGTGTGCTTACCCCTAAAATGGGTTGCCTTGGTGATGTTCTGGATTAAAAATGAGTCTCGCACAGACTACATATACAGGGATGCTGGGTGATTCGCATCTCTCTGAGAAGATTCATCTGATCAGTCTATTTCTGGATGGTTAAAACCACCAACGATCAACGTATGCGACCTACTGAAAGTCATTTTTGGCCAAAAACTGTTTAGTACTTTATCACTGTCAGAGGAACTGTTAGGTGATCTATACACGGCCCCTCTGTGGAGGCTATCCTTGCCTTTCAGAGAAAGTTCGCACCACACTGATGCTCTAGCTGCTTGAGAATCTGTGCGGTGCGAACTTTTTATTGTCTAGCTGATTGGTGCAGATTACTTAACTTGCTGGGACCCATAAACGGTTATAACACACAGAGCTACACCTCTACTGCACTGCCCTTCATTTAAGTTATGAAAAGAATCAAAACCTGGCAATTGAAATTCAACAGATTCTATTTCCCTCCCCTCCCCGTGATTTGTAGAGAGTGTTTCTTTAATGCAAATACTGTCGATACACTCGTTGGCGATCACATTAACATTTCACTTTGTTTAAAATGAAGTCAGAGTTCGTGTATAAACATTTTTTTTTCATTTCAACACCATCAAGAACAGACTAGACGAAGCTATGCAGAAGCATATGTTCAGTCTTAAAATGCCTAGCAAATTACAGAGCAGGCAATAATTCCAGCAGCTATCTCAATCAATCGTTAGTTATGGAAAGATCGGGTTCCAAAGGCCGGACCCTTGTGAATCAAGTCAGGAAAAATTCAAGAATCGGCAACAGGCCATGGGCCTATTTCTTCAGTGCCGACACTTCTTAAGAGTTTTTGTGCACTTTCAGATTGACGTAGGCGGTTACTTCTTACATTATTTACTGGCTTGGATCTATGGACATGAATCCTATTGTTTACTTGTATTCCAATTCCGCCGACTGAGCGGTGTTATCTTGACATCTTGAGAGCGGTTGACCTGATTTTCCGTGCTTTTCCGCATGATTCTCTCCTGCCATTTCTGGCGAAAATCCGCTCTCTCTAAAGGGGAAAACCCTTCTTAAAAACGGACATGTAGTCAGCGGATTCTCCTAGCTTTCTCGCTGCCTCTAGCACGCTCCAAACCTGTGCAGCATCCTTTCAAATCACCAACAGAGGTCTGCAGGTGTTGACAGCAGCGCCCTTTGAGCGTAGCCTCTTGCACGCTATAATATCAACCGGTGTGTTGAGTGATTTATTGGCACAACAGTATGCAATAAATGCAGCATCAGCCATCACTCGGTCATTCGTATCAGATGCGGTGCTTTCGGGAACTCCAACCACACAATGTTGGACTTTGTACTTTCTCATTCAAATAATTCGCGAAATCTTATATTTCGCTAGCAACTTCGGATAAATTAACTCTCTGGTTCTTTACTTCCGTTTTCTCGTAATTTTTTAGCTGAACTTGCACTTTAGTCAGCTCATTGCATTACGAGCTCAATTTTTCACTCAACGAATGTACCATCTCACTCAATGAGTTTACTACATCATTTAACGATTTCAACTCTTCCACCATGCTCTTCCGCCGGCCGTGCTCTTCCACCGGCTTTCCGCTTTTTCGAGTACAAAGAGTAATTTTCTCGCAGTTACGACAAAACCAATGAGGTATCTCAGTTTTCTAGAGAAATTAGTACTTCTCAGACCTCAACTTCGAAAAACTGATTCAAATGAAATCTTCGCAACGTTCACAGGTAACTGCCTGATCAACCTTGCTCACGGAGATTTCTTCGCAGAACTTGCAAACTTTCATTACCAAATTGGCTGATCTGATTTTGGATTTTTGTCTAGCGGAAATAAAGGTCTTTCTGACTACCTTATTCCTTCTCTGTCCAGCAATCGTATAATGCAAAGAAATAAACACAAATTTAAAACTGAATTGAGTCGTGTCAATTGAAATTCCATCGAAAATTCCGATTCCGGCACGATTGCTGAGCAAGGGAAAGAGATGGTGGTGCGAGGGTATGAAGGGGTCTACGCGACAGACGAGTAGAAAAGGGGAGGGGCAGGATAAAGGTAATAGACAGAGGGGCAGGGTGAAGATAGACGGAGGTGCAGGGTAAAGGTGATAAAGCCCAGCCCAGGAGAAAATAGGGTTAACCGAAAGACACGCCGTATACAATACTGTGCCCTCATTCACTAGCTCGTAAAAGCAACAGGCCACATCAGGCCTATTCCTGAGCACCGACATCACTATCACTATGATACTAGCTTATCCCCATTTTTCGATAAGAAAAAACAAGGAACCACTCTTTACTCGCTTCCATTCTATCCACATTCTCTTCCATTGACTTTATTTCTGTCTTTTTAATGAAACGCTTCAGCAAAATGCGTATATAGAGTTAAACCGGCATAGTGAAAAACCAGTTGTGAGCCCGCACAGCACTCACGTCCGCCTTGTGACACGGCTCAACCGCTGTAACTAATTGTACGCAACTGACATTTTGTATTGGCAAATTTTATTCATTTATTTAGAAAATTTGGTCACTGAGTTTTTCGTAATGAAAAATAATTCTTTGCACTTCATACACTCTAAGGAATCGAAATTAAGTATAATTTACGTTGAAGAAATCTGGTAGCGGGGACTTTTAAGTTTTAAATATCAACTGCATGAGCCGATTCACGTTGAACTCCTAGCATTATGGGCGATTCACTTTTCATTGGACATTCGATTTATTCATGGGTTAATCTGAACAAAATCGAACCTTATTTAAGAATTCAATAAAAAAAACTTTTTACCTCACTCACAAAAATTTATGCATATTATACAACACCAAGATAGAAGAAAGTTTTTTTAGTTCTGTCGAGAAAATAGGATATACATTCAATGCTAGGAGCTGATGCCTGGGATTATTTCCGTATACGAAAATAAAGCTCATTCGAACTCTGGATGACTTAGCTCCGCAAGTGACATTAAAGGTCTGCTTTGAGAAGTATGAGCTTATTCCCACCGGAGACCTCAAAGCTGATCTCCACTGCAGAGGTCGAAGCAAATATCCATCAGACATCATCTCAGCTGACGGCGTCTTAGGTCACTTCAACAGACAATTTTACTAAAGTTGTATGAAAGAAACAGAAAATGTGCCCTTACTGTTAAGAAATAGACCAAAAGATGCTAATTCGCCGCCGCGCTGATGAACCGGATATAAAGTTTTCAAACCTTGCAAAATCGTTTCCACTCGACTCGAACAAAATAAAGGTATATTTTAAATACATTAAAACGCACACTCAATGTTGTTGCATTAAAATTCATTTTGAATAAACAGTGCAAATCTTTCAGTTCAAATGCACGTTAAATGCAAGCATAATGAAACTGTAACTGAGTCGGCGACAAAAAATACGTGAAGTAAATCAACCACCCACGTAAACTGTCATAAATTGAAGATATGTGATGATCTGATGAAGTGACGCGCTTTTTCTTTACTCGATTCTGGGAAACGGCTCGCTTTACAGCTTCATATAGTCACCGTATCACTGTGACTAACATCTATGGATCCTAAGCCAAGTTTTTGCTCATTCTCATTGAAGACTGAGCTCAGTTATGCTGAAATGACGAATTCGTGCAGAAAAATCTACAAGCGACGGAAACATGAAACTTACAAACTACTTCACACCATGAGTGCTGATAACAAATCCTGTGTAACGGTGCTCCCCTTCGTTAACAGCGAGTTCGGCAGCAAAACTCGACTAAATTCTTAGGCCTGGGAACTGAGTGAACTGTTCCATATTATAGTGGCTGTCATTGTTTGAGCTCGAGTTAATTGACATCAGGAGCTGATTATTGGGTAGAGATGTTGCTGGTCCACTTAAATCATAATGCTTTTATTTCAATTCAGATGCTAAAAAGTTTAATTAGTATATATACTTAACCCATCAGATTAGGCAAGGCAATCATTTACATCATCTATTCATTTCCTAAATATAACCTACGATGACATTTTTTAGTCCAAATCGCCTCTCTTGTGTGTGCGCTATTGATTCCAGTGCCGAAGAACTCGTAAACTGCAAAATAACCTCAATAATTTTTTATATGAAAATTAATCGATTATTTTTACGCGTGCATCTAATGAAGTGTTATGATCAATGCGCCTTTTGGTTGATTTTCATTTACAGATCGAATTAATAATTTTCTTATACCTAGTGGCAAACAATTTATTGAGTTTTAAAGTAATCCCAGACCTTTCTACTTATTTAGAATTGCAGTTTTCTCTTCATAACTATTGAATACGTTTGAAGTCTCAGTAGTGTCGTGGGTTCAAACTCTGATAGTCAAATTCACTTCTGAACATTACACCTCGTAATCACGTCTATCATTTCTAACATTGGTAAAATATTACTATTCAAACCGAATACTTCAGTATCGTCGACAATAGACCACTATGTTCACAGATTAAACAAATTACAGTAAATCTTCAAAATTATCCTCAGGTTCTTCATTCACGTTCAACATATTGTTATTATCGTTATTAGTTCTCGCGCAGGAATCCTGTTTAATGTTCACAGCAAATCCATAATGTTTACAACCTGCGATATTGTCCAACTAAACCAGACATCAGAAAATTATATTAATTAATTACTGACATCCGATTTATCTTAAATGATAGCGAAACACTACAAAAGTTTATATTAACCAGCTGGCTTAAACTCTTAATCAGACTCTGTTCAGAGAGTTCAATGGTACTGAAATCATGCTAATCAGGCAGGTCAAATTTTGCGTGGCAGATTTAGAGGGACAGTTAGTTACTTCGAAATAGCAAATAAACCAGATGGGCTTGTGTATCCAGAGTCCTAGGACAAAAATCCATATGTGAAGCATCCGCGTTTGACGAATATAATTCTAAAAGAGAAGAAGAACCATTGATCAGTTCACATCATTCTCTAAAGGATGACATTCATTCTACGTCAGCTCCATCATCCTCTAATTAATCTCCGCATGTATCCTCTTCGAAAGGCCTTTCTTTCAGAGATGGTGCCTGTATGAGCCTCCACTTCATGGGTCGCGTGTGTAGACCTGCACCTCAGTGATCTCCAGATTATGGTACACTCCTCCCTGTTCCTTCTTGACGACGAAGTACCTGCCGCATCGGGGGGTGGTTGGGGTTATGTGCTGCCAGACTGGTGTGTTGGTGGCCGTGTCCAGCACGGGATCTGCGATGAAGGCGAACTGCTCGTACACGCCCGCGAAGACGCCATCAGTGACCACCGTGTTGCCCACGTACAGCTGTTCGGAAACAAGAGGATATGCAAGTGAGGCTACATGTTAATGTGTATCTGCATAAATGTACGCCAATTTAAACTATTAAAAGTAATTTTGGTGCAATGTCATCACAATGACATTGAGAGTATCACGATGACACATCAGAGTACGGGAATAATTGACGTTATGAAAGTTCAACTGTCAGCTCCATTGATCGATACGACCGACTCCGGAATGAAAATAAATTTCTAATTTTAAACATAAATTGATCAATAATGTAATGACTTTGAGTTCTGCATGGTATTATGGTCTTGGATACAAACGTGAACCATGTACAGAATCAGTCGGCTGTAGACTTTGATAGTCAACTGATGTTCAACTTTTATCTGAGTAATGCAATGAATGCAATAATCATATTCACGGCGTATGATTGAGCCAGCTTTTAATCATTAAAACATATAATGAATGACTAGCTCACTGAAAATGCTTGGGCACTCCACCGTAACGTTGCACTCATCACAGCTAGGTGGCATTTACGGTGATAATGAATTCATTGTGAAATAGCACTCACTGCGAAGTCACATTCACTTCTGGAGTTGCACTCACTTTTGAAGTCACACTCACGACAATGTTGTGTGCTCGACCGATGTGTGTCACCATCTCCACTCTCGATGCGCGGCAGCAGCGGCACGCGCATACTGAACTCGATAATAATGAATGTCAAACAATCAACTTACCGTGTATAATGGTTTCTCTTCAAATTTACACTTACAGTGATGTTGTGTGCTCGGTTTGCAGCGGTTACACCGTCTACGTTTGCGATGCGCGGCAGCAGCGACACGCTCACCACTGCGTAAGTCTTCAGGAGGTCAATCAAGAGATACGGGTACATGTCAGAGCCGGAGTGGAAGAAGTGATATATCTCGGTCGAAACGCCGTCGTTGGCGTTTTGTGGTTCCCTGCACACATCAAGAGGCCGCTCACCGGCCAGCTTATCAAGTAAGTAAACAATGCATTACATAGGAATAGTTTTTTTTTGAGTCGTACATCAAGTGAGAGTAAATTTTGCAATGAATGTTATTCTGGAGAATCACAAAGGTGCTGAACTAAATTCAGAAGGCGGAGCATAATAATATGAGAATTCATTTTAGACAATTTCAAGATGAATTAAATGAATGGTGGAAACCATGTTGCCTTGTGTGCACTCAGAAATAAATGTAGAAAAATCATTATGAGCACTCTATTATGTAAATATTAATTATAGGAAGGGAAAACCTTTGAAAATTAACCAAGATTGTGCCAAAGTTTTGGTATCACAATGAGAACGGTTCTCACCAAGCATGCACAACGCAAGTCATCCTGTTAGCTAAACTCAAGCTAATTATCAACAGCAAAACACTTGCAAGCGCTCAGACGATCAACCGCTGAACTTATCATACACTCACTCAGCTATGAGCATAGCACTACTCACCGAACCATTTACAATACATCATTTATACCGCGTTGATTACTTAAAACCTAGAGAAGCATTTTCAATGATAGTATAGAAACCAAAGTGAAGTGGCATATCTCACTTGAGGAAACTTTTGTACCGCCACAGGTAGACATTTGCAAACAAAGCTAACCCAGAGGGAAAGTGTATAAACATTGAACATATAGACGAGTCACCATCGACAACCAAGTTAATAACATCTCTCAGTTATAGCCCAAAACGATCCACCTTCAAATTAAGTTTACCTAATAGTCATAATTCAATATCTATCAAAACATAACATATTCATTATAGAAGAGAACGGGGAAAGACGTGCTTGAGAAGTTTACGCATTAATACTATAACAAACCAATTGGAAGCCCCTGTGTATCTATAATCACATATGCGTACAGTAAGGCCATCACTCACATATTTTGCATTTCCATAGTTTTAATCGTTAGCTATCTTAAAATGTTTATTTTCAGCCTAACGGTTCAATCAAAAGAAAACTTGATTCGCATGTATCAAACACGTACATAACATGTTTTTGCATCATAAGAGTTACTCACAAATTGTAGGGTGGACTTGAGGGGTTTACTGACGACGCAGTCACAGGCTTCCCCCTGGCAACCTCGACCAGCGGGCCCTGGCCACCTGCCAGCTGACGGTACAGCCCCGTGTTGTAGGGGGGCAACACACCCGAACCCAGCAACACGCACCCATCTGTGTGTGGTTACGTGCCTCTGACGAGTGCATAGTGAAATGATCTAAAATAAAAGTGCTATGCGGGCCATCGAATTGACTTGTAATTTGGATTATTAGTTGTAAATTAACCTTCTTCATAGGATTTGATGATTTCTGCATTTATGGTTACTCGTCATGGAATCTCTTTTTTCATGGAATCTACCTAATTTAGCATCGGTTCGATGGAACTGAATGGATGTTTCAAATTATACTTCAGATAATATTTAATGTAATTAGAAGCAGATGAGTACTAATGCAACTCCTGATAGTGATTAATGAATTAATATTTTTGTCGTCTCTTAGGTTTATTTGAATTCAGAGCCTAAGGTCATATACTGTAAATTCCTAAATTGTAAACGAGTTTCAGTTTAATGCATTATTTTTTAAGTATAAGGATGTATATGACTAATAACAATATTATGCTCGGAGAGTACTAGCGAGAAACTTCACGATAATTCTGGAAAGTTGCTGGAAAGCCTTTTTGATTAAGTTAGTCTGCACAGGATAAAATAATAAACATTTCCTACGATTGGGTTTATGTTAAATAAATTGTTAAACTAACCGTCCCCAGTGATGGCGTGCACACATCCCTCCCGCAAGCACCTTGTCATGCATGACAGTCTTTTTGCGCCGGACTGGCGCTTGATGTGCGTGAAGCAGTTGCCCGAGGCGTAGATGTCCAGGCCGGAGCGCTGCTGCGCGTAGACGGAGTAGTTGCTGGGGCAGGCCATGCCATCGCACAGCCAGTGCCCGGGCACCTGCCACGCCTGGATCAGCATCAGGAAAAGTGCCAACGTCCGGAATAACAGCATGATGATCGTGCGTACGGAGAGCTGATAATGCAATAAATTACGATTGAAAAATTACTAAAATCAGCACACTGAACATCAACAACATTTCATGAATTAGGATTGTAAATATTTTTACCAACTTGCGATTTAGTTCTCTATTTACTTAAAACCTCTCTTAGATAACTGTTCAGTCACGTATCTAAGGCAATTAACCGAGCTTCGACCTTAACTTCACTATAACGAACTGACTAATTATCGGCAAATATTGATTATTTATATGAATTAATTTTATGTCAAGCCGATCTGTTTTAATTTCCGGCGATCTCACGTGTCGAATATTTCATAAGGGTTACTTACAGTACCCAGTACTGTCTTACCCAGTACTTACCCAGTCTACTCAAGGGTAGACTGGGAAATTGGTTTACATCTGGAGCCACATCTATTAAAAATAATTAAAAAGTGTAAAATGTGATGTGTAAAATGTGAAGTGTAAAATGTTAAGTGTAAAATGAAGTGCAAAATGTGAAGTTTAAAATATGGGGTGCAAAATGCGAAGCTTAAATTGTGAAGTGTAAAATGTGAAGTTTAAAATGTGAGGCGTAAAATGTAAAGCGTAAAATGTGAAGTGTAAAATGTGAAGTGCAAAATGTGAAGTGTAAAATGTGAAGTGCAAAAGGTGAAGTGTGAAATGTGAGGTGTAAAATGTGATGTGTAAAATGTAAAGAAGAACCATAACTTGTCAAGTCTCCATATTTGTTTGTTGTGCCCTTACATAATAATTTAGGTACGATGGGTATTTTCATTTAAAAATAACGGGGTTAGAACTACCATGAGTAAAAAACATTTCAGTATAATTATTTGTCGTTCATTTATTTAGTGGAAGTCGCACATTGTTAATGGGTGTTCCATAATAACGCTTTAATGTTAGAGTTACGGACTTAGGCTATAGTCATGGTTTTCATTTATATATGGCGTGCTGATTCTACTACCATCTCTCTCAACTGGTTATGTAAAATATATCGTAGAATAAGACCTTCACTATGTTTTGTACAATATTTTCGTTTTAGCTTATTGTCATTTATGGTTATCCGAGACCATTTTGTTCACTTTAATGTTTTTATTTATTTAAATATGCAGATCCGAGTGGGAGAGTTGAAACGGATTGTGGCTCTATTCAGATGGTATCAAAATTATGTAGGGTAAAGTGCTTTCATGCCCAAAAGCCACGATAACTGCCAAAAATTTACTTGATAATAAAAACTGAAATTTACTTCTGAACCCGCCAACCATAAAGTACAGAGACCCCCCGTAAACCCGTAATCCCACAATGCGAACCCGGCCTGATCGTTTTTTAAGGTCGTTCACAAAATAACATTGTCTGAACTAATAGTTATTTTACTCCAATGCATGAATTCATAAGAAATATTAATTAAACTGTTAGCTTGGATCAGTTAAATGTGGATCCCGTAAACAAGTTATCACGTCATCATAAAAACCATGTGCATCTGGTTACTTAAGAGGCAAAAAAGTTGTACCCCCAGTATAAATAAGAAGATAACGACTTCATTTGTTCGAATATTTCGCACATATAGTGCAGTGTCAGAGAAATCGTTGTCAGGAACTGCGTGGTTTAATTTACCGGCTGATGGCTTGGTGTCAGTATTGATTGATTGTACACATACTTCTAGGGAAGGAATCTTTTTGAAGAAATTTTCGATTATATAAATAAAATAAGTAAAAAACTTATTTCAGTTTATAAGAATAAATGTTTACACGATCTTGTTTCTCGTTCATTGCCGTCGTAATAGAGTTTGATTGTTTTTTTTTTCAGTGAGTATCCTGGATTTGGAATAATTTAGAGGAGATATCAATTAAGAATAGTCATTAGTTTAGATAATAATTCATGGATTGATTCACGTTGTAATTGTTTGATATGCAATGAAAATTGTGATATATTAAACATTGATGATTTCACTACATGATGTATACTTATGAGTATCGATACTACATTGAATAAACCATTACAAAAATCTCACTGAAACTATTTTTAATGCATTAAAACTGTTGAGATAAATATATACTTGAAGCAATTACAAGATTTACCTTCAGAAGGTCGCCGCATCAGAGACAAGTCTCAGTGGGAAATTGTGCAACTCATTAACTCTAATGGTTTGAAATTTTTGCATCCCATATGCTACCATATAAATGCAAATATTTGGCATGTACGCAACTCACCAGAGCTGAACGTTTCTCTGTCACGCGTACACCAGCGCAAACGAGGCAAGACTGACAGCTGCCGAAACTAGCAAGTAAACATCACACATCGAGTAATAGCGCTAAAGTTCATGAGTGAGTTGGTGCCATCTCATTTGTCGAATATTTCATAAGGTAATCAGGGAAGGTAGTAATCGCTCGACTCGATTCATTGATTGGACGTAAAAACGAACAATGACTTCCACCCTTTTGATGGAATTTCGTAGTGAAGACTTCTACGCACTTCGAATTCTGTAGTCAGCCTCAGTGCTATTTGAAAAATATTCACAAAAGAAACTCATAGCTTTCTTTGAAAATAGCTTTGAAAACTCAACTACCATCATAAATACAAATTCAATTTATTACCCGCTAAATCAAAACAATCGGTGCATCCGGTTTTCTGCCCAGCCCAACTCAGCCTCAAGTACTTCCAAAATCAACTTATTGAAGGGAGTAACTAATAGCTTTATAAATCCATGATATCGATATTGAATTAAATATCAATTCCCTTTCAACCCGTTTGCTGCAAACGGCGGAATGCATTCCATTGTATGCAAATTAAAATAAGTTGAATATTAAGGTGCAGAATATTGTCAAACGCTTACATTTTCGGACCTAACAGATGGGGTCTTAAAAATGTATGGTCGTCATAAAATAAGAGACTATAATAAATTGGTTAAACTAATGAATATGTATTCAGTTGGAAGGGTTTTATTTTTTGGGTTGAGAGTATTGAAGTGAAGACAGTTATCCATAATGAAAACTAGCCAGAGCTACAAATTGCCACAACACTCAGAGCTTCAGTGACGGACTAACAACCTGCAGCATCCGGTCCTCCCCTGAGCTCTCTTCCAGACTCGTCCTCCGTGAGAAGATGAGCTGTTGCCGTCGCCTCTACATCGCCTCATCCCTCAAGGCTGCCACCCTAGACGAGACGCACGCTGGAAGTCTCATTCCATAGTAAAGATGAAGCGGAAGACAATGTGAAGACTTGGCATCGTTGACAGTCTGAAGGAATGTGACTGGTGGGCGGTCTCTGAACCTTACTAGAGAAGAGAGAGAGACATGTTACTACAACCACACTACTTGAGAGAGAGAGACATTACCGTTAGCACATCTGCCGCTGCCGTTGAAGCCATATTGTATAACGGATATTGACCGAGTCATATAGTGATCTTTGTAGTCCTTTTGTTAGCCCAAGTCTCGTGGTTTCTGTGTATAGACCTGAACATCTTATCTCCCATAGTTGGCATACTACGTTTGCCGCTTCCTTCTCCTTCTTGATAATGAAGTACCTGCCGCAACGGGGGGTGGTTGGGCTCACGTGTCCCCAGTCCGTGGCGCCAGTGATTTGGTTGATCACGGGTTCCCAGATGAAGGCTAATTTCTCGTTCACGCCCGCGAACATGCTACCCGACATCACCATGTTACCCACGTACAGCTGTTTGGGGAAATGCGCACAAACAAGTTTTAATTTCTAGTCAGTAATTTCTAATTTCAGTCAGTACGATTATTAATTTATAAATAATTGTCTCTGTCGTTTATGCCCTTGATGTATTTTCTGTGATAAATGCTAGTAAGGCGATATCAGAGAATATGGAATAAAGTATTTTAGAATTAAGGCGATATCAGAGTATATGAAATGATGTAGTTTAGAGTAGTTCATTTCAATTTAATTTGAAATGAACTACTCTGGATCCGAAACCATTTGAGGACATTCGCATGTTAACTAATATGAAATTTTATTTGCTTCAAGTTATTGGAACAACCACGAAAGATTTACATATTTATTCGAAATACAGCAGTGAACCATGTTTCCATAACGCCTGCTACAGGAAAGAGGCACTCACCATTAAGTTTGTCTCTCTGAGAAATTCGACTCGCAATTAAGTATTCTTGATAGTGAGGTTGCACTCACAGATAGCTTGTGCAAACTCGTTTACGGCGAGGTTGCATTTTGGTTATTGAAAGAAAATGTAGAATTCAACAAAATACTTACTAACACTTTAGTTAAACTCTAAAATTAATCCTTCATTATGCACTTTTGTCTGAAGATTGATTGTTTTCAAATATTTACTGTCGATTATGCCGGTTGCTAATCAGCTATGAAAACAGGCACTTACAAAGTAAAATGTACTAACGTATAAATTTATGGATGAGAGTAATATTAGAGAGTTTTTACCCTTTCGATAAAGTAATTGGCATATCAATTATTTCTAGGTGTTCAACTGACCTTCCCCAGTGATGGCGTACACATATCCCCCAGCATGCCGTTATTTTTGCGCTGCACTGGCGCTTGATGTGCGTGAAGCAGTTGCCCGAGGCGTAGATATCCAGGCCGGAGCGCTGCTGCGCGTAGACGGAGTAGTTGCTGGGGCAGGCCATGCCATCGCACAGCCAGTGCCCGGGCACCTGCCACGCATGGTTCAGCGCCAGGAAAAGTGCCAACGTCGAGCTTACCATGCAGCATGATGATGATGGTGCGTGAGTTGAACAGTCTAATGCACCAAAACAAGTCTAATAAAACCAAAGCTATGAGTTCTAATCTGAAAGGAAAAGAAATTTGCGAAGTTAAGCTGTTAGAAGAAGACAAGAGGTTTGAACAGATACTGAATTAACCTCCGTTTCAGCCGGCTCTAAGATGCTGTCATCAAATTCACTTCATGAACTAAGGTTACTATCGTGCCACACAACGAGTTATTTCAGGATTTTGGCCCTTGTGTGAATTACAAATTTTTGACGATTGAATTAGCAATCGCAAAAATATTGTTATAGAAAATTTGTCCTTCCATGAATTCCAGTAATAAGATTTCCTCCTACCTGCCTCTAATTGTCAGCGAACCCTGTAATGTGTCTTCTGACCGCTGAAGCACTTCTTGAAAGTTTAACATTTTATGTGATGACAAATTTACATTGTTTAAATTTTCATCGCATGACCTTAGTCTCAGGGCTACCTCAAATGAATAAATAGGTTTAATTTTCTCTCCTCCAAATGTCGGTAAAAGCAGATGTCAGTTCATTAATTGTTATTGCCGAGGTGAAGTACTTTACACTTGTCAGCATTAAAATGCACCTGCCACGTATCAGCCAGTCAACTAAACTGTCAAGACCATCTTGCAATTGCACTTTATTTAACGCATTCCTAAATGTAAAATAAACTTTTGTGTCATCGGCATAGCACACGCTTGACACTACTTCTGCAGATCGTTTATAAAAGTAATTTGTGGTGCGCCACCGCGCACTGTAGCCCAATCTGATACGGTTTCGTAGATATTGACACATCGTCTGCCTTAGACCTCACTTTACGCAACAGCCGCCCACACGGAACACTGTCAAATTCTTTGGCTAAAACGCTAAATCGAGGTACACTGCATCCAATGGCTCCCTTCCGTCCAGCAGGCGAGTCCAATCGTTCAACGTAACAGGAGGTTAGTGGCGCATAATCTACCAGCAATAAAGCCATGTTGACAGTCTGATAGGAGATAATTAACAGCCAAGTGATCTATAATGTTATCCCTCACATTAAATTCCATTACCTTACAAACAACACTTTTGAGACTGACAGCGCGATAGTTACCGGGCTCTTGTCGCCTTTTTTGAACAATGGTGTCTCTTTAGCATCTTCCCCATCCGCCAGCAAAGTCAATTCGTTCAATGTTTTTTTTTTTTTAAAGAACACTGTCAAAGGCCGGCCAGGACGGTTGCTAATTCGTATAAGCAATCTAGGGTGGACGCAGTCTGGTCTACATGACTCGTTGGGATTCAGAGCGACCAGGCGCTTGAGAACCTCTTCTTCGTGTATTTAAAAATATGTTATCTTCGAGCCTACTGGGCGCTCCTCATTAGCTGGGATGCTGTTCAAGTCCTCATCTGTGAACACCCGGCATAGAGAACTGATTAATAACGTTAGCCTTGCCCTCATCTGAGGATATCTTTCGTTGATCTACTTTCTAATCATGAATACCGTCGTTTGCCTTACACTTCAAACTAGCGTACACAGCGTAGGCTTTCGGGTTCTGTTCTGCACTTTTGGCAATATTTTTTCAAACTTTTTCACTGTGGTCCGACAGATTTTTTTGCTTGATTTCCAGCTCTTGCATACAGGTTGTAATCAGCATAGCAACGAATTCGTAAATAACGCTTGTATGCTTCTTTCTTGGTCTTAAGCTGAGCTATAATTACTGTTCATCCACTGGGAATTTTCGACTCCACCGAGCTTAATCTCAAGGTGTTTAGTTTAGACACGATGCAACTAGTTGAGTCGACTAGACTAATATTTGTAATGATAAACGTCTTCAGAGGCGACTAGCTGGTGCATTGCACGCAAAGCACCTCAAGTTGTTTCAAGGCAGCCAAGTGTGCCCAGTACCAGTACCGCCTCGGCCTTCGTAATCTGTACAACTGCGTCGCGCTCTATTGCTTGTCTCTAAGCTGCTGTAGTGCGCACAACTGTGGAGCTCACGCTTGCTTCCACTACGCACACAGCTTTCTCGACAACTCCCAACGTCGCACTGGCGCTGCCGCTGGCGGACTGTACCGAAAACACTCTTCTCGTGTATAGGCTCTCAGCCGGCAAAACTGTAGTGGACGCAACTAGTCGCCCCGTGTATAAGCACCTTTATAGTGTAGTTTGGCAGAAGCTGTTCTTTAATGCAGGTTTCGTTGAAGACCAGAGAGTATTTCTTATTGACAATTTTCTTATTATTTTTCTCGATTCGGCGAATTAGGCTCCTGATAGGAAGTGAAAATCCAGCATTCGAAACGTCGTAAAATTATAATAAAATGTCCCTTGGAAACCTGATATTTGGATTTTCACTTCCTATCAAGAGCCTAATTCGCCGAATCGAGAAAAATAATAAGAAAATTGTCAATAAGAAATACTCTCTGGTCTTCAACGAAACCTGCACCTTTATAGGTACACATCTTCACAACCATCAACTGCAGACATAACCGTGTCTTTGAGAAATAACCATAAATCAGCCACATTCTTGTCCTTAATACAGTTTGAATATTCGCCGCACTCACAGCATCACGGAGTTTAACATAGTCGCCTATCGCAAAGTTCAAACGTTCACGCTTCCGAAGTGCCTTTTTTTGTTTAACACTTAATACTGAATAACAATGATTGGCGTCTGGCGATGGCTTTTGCCCAACGGAGCCTCGTGACGAAGCTTATCTAGCATTGATTCTTCACTAGGAAAGACTAGACTTTGGGGTCTGTTTACTCCTAGAATGAGTTGGCTTGGAGATGTTCTGGAGTAAAAATGAGTCTCGCACTGACTCCAAGAACAGGGACGCTGGGTGATCCCATCTCTTGGAGAGGATTCATCTGCCCAGTCTATTTCTGGATGGTTAATGTCAACAACGATAAACGTATGCGACCTACTGAAAGTCATGCTCGGTAAAGGGCTGTTTTGTACTTTATCATTATCAGAGGAACTGTTTGGTAATCTATCTTTGAAGGCTATCCTTGCCTTTCAAAGAGAGTTCACACTACACTGATTCTCTAGCTGGTTGGTGCTCTGTAGATAACTAAACATGCTGGTCCACATATCAAGTTCTAACCCACAGAGCTACACCTCTATTAATTGCACTGCTGATCATTCAAGTTATGAAAATAATTAAAACCTGGCAACTTAAATTCAACAGATACAATTTTTCCCCCCATTATTTGCAGGGAATTTTTCTGTAATACAAATAATGTCAATACACTCGTTTGCGATCACAGTTAACAGTTCAGTTTTTTTCAAATGAGTCCCGAGTTCGTGTAAAAACATTTTAAATCTTTTTGTGCACCTTCATTTTGATGTATTGTTGGGAAAATTTCCCAACCTGGCTATTGAAAATTCCAACGAAGAAGGAGAGCCTACTCTGTCTATATAAGACAGAGGCGCAGCTCTCAAAATCAGCTACTTTAAATGTTTACGTATCTCATGAAGTTATCCGCCGTCCTAACTGTTCCCATTGATCTTGATTTTACGCCACATTTTTCTCGTGTATAACTAATGGTTTTATTTTGTTGTGCACATCCTTTGCCGAGTTACTGATTTATTTTGGGTGCATGCTTTTGTCATCTCCTTTGAACACTTTGGCAGGCCCGTCAGGCTCTGTGATAATTACCTCTTAAAAGAATTAAATGCCTAACGTGAAACCAAACTTAATCGACCAATACCTTAAATTCTTCACTATTAATCTTTGTTTGGCGGGTTCCATTAAATCTTTAACTTGACCTTAAGTTCTCTTTAACTGAAATGCCGAAGTGTTCACTTCTCGTGGTGCATATTAACTTTGTGGAACAGTGGCGACCATTAAATTTGTTTAAGTGGTGCGGTTTGCGACCATTGTTGCAGCCGCGTTTTAACTTGAGAAATTGCAAACAGCATACTTCTGTTAAACTTCACTTCTAAAAGCACTAAAAGTGCACTTATTTTTGATTTAATAAGTGAGCTCTACCTTGAGATAAAATCGTTGAATTTCCGTAATTAAATATTTTAGCAGTATTTGTCCTCAAGCGCCTTAATAATAAAGTCCTTTCCTCATACAGTATACACACTGTTCGGCTTCTGTCTTGCGTGGCCGCCTGGACTTCTAAATTGTTCTACATTTCGAGTGACCTACGATAAAGTCTGGGATTAAAACTGAACTCCAAGCAACGATTACATCTGATTAAATTACTTCCATTGGCCTCTATTTGTTTTGATCCTTTTGAAATATTAGCTTTACACATAGAAGAGGTTTACCTCCAGCGTAGGGAGAAATTTCCCTACAGGTTGCTGTTACTTCTTAGATTTTTTTACAAGTATGGATCCATGGACATGACTCCTACTACTTACTTGTCTTCCAGCGCCGCTGACTGAGCTTGTGCGCCCGGTGTTGTTTCGACTTCTTGAGAATTAATTGTTGACCGGATTTTCCATGCTTTTCAGCCCGATTCTCTCTTGCCATTTCTAGCGAAAATCCGCTCTCTCTAAATAGGTGGAATACTTCACAAAAACGGATTTATACTCAATGTATTCTCTTAGCTGTCTTGCTGCCTTCAGTACGCTCTAAACATGTGCACCATCCGTTACAGTCACCAAGAGATGTCTGCTGCAGGTGTTGGCAGCAGCGTCCTTCAAACTTAGCCTCCTGCACGATGTAATATCAACCCGCGTGCTGAGTGTCTTACTTATAATGACATAAATGAATGAATGTCTGTAATGAATGAATGAATGAATGTCTGTAATAAATGCAGCATCAGCCATCACTCGGTCATTCGTATCAGACGCGGTGTTTTCGGGAAACTCAAGACCACATAATATTGGACTTCCTACGTTCTCTGTTCAGTAATTCGCGGGAGCTTCCGATAGCAACTTCAGATAAATTAACTTTCTGGTTCTTTATTTAAATTTTCTGGTTATTTTTCAGCTGAGCTTTCACTTCTATCATCTCATTGCATTGCGAGCTCAATTTTTCGCTCAACTCAAGCAGTTTACTACATCATTCAACGAATTCGACTCATTGCCGTGCCCTTCCACCGGCTTTCCGCTTTTTCGAGCAAAAAGAGTTCGTTTATCGCAGTCACGACACAACCAAAGAAATAATTCATTTTTCTGGAGAAATGAGTGCTTCTAAGAGCACTCATTCAGAACTTCGAACAGCTGATACAAATTAAATCTTCGCAACGTTCACGGGTGACCGACTGATCAACATCTCATTGCAGTACTTACAAACTTTCATCACTAACTAAGCTGATTTGATTTTGGCTTTTTGTGCATCGGAACTAGTGGGCTTGTTGACTACCTTATTTCTTCTCTGTTCAGCCCTCGTACAATGCATGGAGGTAAACACAAGTTTAAAACTGAATTGAGTTGAGAAAATTAATCTGAACAAAATCGAACCTTGTTTAAGAATTCAATCGAAAATACTTTTTAGCAAACTCAAAAGTTTTATGCTTTTTGTTCAAGACCATGAATATAGTGATTCTCTATAGTATTGGCGTGAAAATCGGATGCACATTCTTTGCCAAGAGATGACGCATGAGATCATGTCCGTGTACGACTTTCGAGCTCATTTAAACTATGGATGCCTTAGTTCCGTTAGTGACATCAAAGGTTGTATGCTTGGAGAAGTATGAGCTTATTCCCACAGAAGACCTCAAAGCTGACCTCCACTGCGAAGGTCAAAGTAAATATCCATCAGACATTATCTCAGCTGACGGCGTCAGAGATAATTTCGACAGACAATTTTACTAAAGTTGTATGAAAGAAACATAAAATGTGACCATTCGATTATGAAATAGATAGATTATGAAATAGGTAATTTGCCACCCGCGATGAATCGGATATAAAGTTCTCAAAACCTTTGTTTTGAGAACTTCGTCAAAACCAAATCGTTTCCTCTTAACTCAATCAGATTAAAGGTGTATTTCAAATACATTTACAAAGTCAATGTTGTTGCATTGAATTTATTACATCAGAAGTAAATGGTGCAAAGCTTACAGTCCAAATGCACGTTATTTGCAGGCATACTGAAACTGTAACTGGGTCGACGACAAAACCTAAGCGAAGTAAACCAACCATTCACGTAAAATGTCACATATTGGAGATATGAAAAGATCTGATGAAGTGACGCGTTTTTTATGTACTCAATCTCTGGGAAACGAGTAGCTTAAACTACTTCACACCATGAGTGCTGACAACAATGACAACTTGTATGCGTCCATTATACCATACTAAACTTATACAGTAATTCTTGAACATTCAAGAGAGATTGTTAGGAGGAGGGAATGAGATTGTTAGGACAAGAGAGTAAAGGTACTTATAGGGTGTGTGGCTGTGTGGGGACCAGTAGGAATGTGAGAGAACAATTCAAGTAAGGCGAATCATTGGTTGGGTTTAATTGGAAGAACAGGAAAAGTGCGTGCGAGTAAGTATGAAGTATTAAGGGAAGGGTGGAAGAGCGTGGCAGTTCCCAGTATTATGTATGGAATGAATGTGATAACACATAGTGATTGTGAGCAAGATAAACTGGAAATGGTACAGAATAGAGTGGCGAGATTGGCTCTAGGTGCCCCCAGGTGGACTGCGGTGGAGGCCATGTGAGGGGACATGGGATGGAGTACCTTTTAAGGTGAGAAGAATGCGATCAGTTTTGAGATATAAAGTGAGACTGGAGCGAATGAACGTTGGACGATGAACGTTGGGCACGAAAGATGTATATGTGGAACATATACATCTTGCTCACCTGTGGAACAGGTGAGCAAACAGGCTCGTAGATGTCGTGCATTGGCACGTGAGTGTAATATGCATGAAGCATGGGTGCGCCAAGGGCCCGCTGGGCCGAAGACGAATGGGTGGTGACAGTGCAGGGTGCGCTTGGGATAGAGTGGGATGAAATAAGTAGAAAAGAGAAATAAATAAGCAAGTGAAAGACTATGGGCTGAAGATGTGGAAGCAAGGAATGAAGAGAAAGAACACCAAAACTATCAGATGACAGCGATGCTAAAATATGAATGTATGTATGATGGTAGTAAAGGTGGGGACCTTCTTTTTTTGTGTGATGGCAGGGGCGCTTGGTGTGTATGGACGTACATACAGGTGGAAAGAGAGGTGGGAAGACAAATTTTTTTTATGTGTGATGGGGATGAGAAGAAAACTGTGGAGCACTTGTTGATGGAATGTGAGGCTCATGAGAGAGAGTGATAGTTTATGCTGGGGGAGATTCTGAGTGAGGGAGGTGAGATTAACGAAGTGGGGTATGAGAAAACAAGCAAAGAGTGGATGGCAATGATTGTGGGCCTGTCTGAGGGAGAAACTGTACTTATGTTTGAGAGTGTGAAGAGATATTTGAAAAAACGTGTAGAGGATGAGGAAGAGGAAGGAGGCGATAAGAGTGGGGTATTGAGGAGTGGAGGTTTGAGAGAGGGGAAGGTGGATAGGCAAAGGTGACCGTGCCGAATGTTTTGGTACCTTGTTTCAATTTTTTTAGGAGGTTGACATGTATCACTGAATGTTTCAATCTTTTAGGATTGCAATGAATACTAATTATTTGAACATTTCAATAACTGCCGGGTGCGACGTGAACTATATATTTTTTACGTAGAAAAAGAATTTTTATGCAGCGTGAATGATTGATCTAAAGGTCTTGACCGGAGGTCATCACGCACCCAATTCCGTTCTCATTGATTTGACCTGAAAGCCCAATAAAAGCCTCTCACACTCGTCTCTTTACTGACCATGTACCTGCCGGTGGATTACTATCGCGTGCAGCCCTGCATATAGCTTAACGAGTTCGCCAGCAAAACTCGATCAATCTCTGAGACTTGGATTCTGATCCATATTATAGTGGCTGTCTTGGTTTGAACTCGAGTTGAGTGACCTTATGAGCTGATTACTGGGTAGAGACGTTGCTGGTCCACTTAAACCCTAATGCTTTTAATTCAGTTCAGATGCTAAAAAGTTTAATTATTATCTATACTTAAACCATCAGATGATGCAAGGCAAGCATTTACATCCTCCATTCATTACCTAAATATAATCCACAATGTGGTTTTTTAGTCCTTAGAACCTCTTGTGTGTGCGCTATTGATTGTGGTGCCGAAGAACTCGTAAACTGCGATATAACTTCAGTAATTTTTTTTAATGAAAATTCATCAATTATTTTCACGCGTCCATCTAATTAACTTTTATGATCTTTTATCTAATGAACTTTTATGAAAAGCAACTTTAGATTGCTTTTCATTTGCAGATCGAGTTGAAAATTTTCTAATACTGAGTGGCAAGCAACTTATCGAATTCCAAAGTAATCCCGAACTTTTCTACCTATTTAGAATTTCAGTTTTCTCTTCAAAAGTATATTAAATGCGTTCGAAGACTCTATAGATAGGGTCGTGGGTTCAAAGTCTGATTGAGAAATTCACTTCTAAACATTATGCCTCGTAATCACGACCATCATTTCTAACATTGGCGAAATATTAGTGAAAACGAACACTTAATTCGATATTGTCGACAATAGACCACTATTTTCACAACTGCTATAAATAATATTCCGATAAAAAATTACAGAATTTCTACAAAATTATTCTCAGGTTCTTCATACACATTCAAGACCCAGGAATTATTGTTATTAGTACTCATGCAGGAATCCTATATAGTTTTCACAGCAAATCCATGGTGTTTAAAATCTGCAAGATTTATCCAACTAAACAAGGCATCAGAAAATCATATTAATTCAAAACTTACATCCGATTAATCCTATAAATGAAAGCGAAACACCGCCAAAGTTGATGTTCACGAGCTATTTAATCAGATTCTGTTTAGAGAATTGAACGCTACTGGAATTATGCAAATCAGGCAGGTAAAAGTTAACGTGGCAGGTTTAAAGGGACAGTTAGTTACTTCGAAATAGCCAATGAACCAGATGGGCTTGTGTATCCAGTGTCTTATAAGGACAGAAATGAATCTGTGAAGCTGCCGCGTATGACGCATATAATTCTAAAAGAGAAAGTGATTGACTACTAAATTATATTAGTTCACATCATTCTTCATGGGATGACATTCATTCTTCTTCAGCTCCATCATCCGCTAATTCATCTACGCATGTCTCCTCCTTGAAAGTCCTTTCTTTCAAAGATCGCGCCTGTATGAGCATCCACTTTAAGGTTCGCTTGTGTAGACCTGCACCTCAGTGATCTCCAGGTAATGGTACGGCCCTCCCTGTTCCTTCTTGACGACGAAGTACCTGCCGCACAGGGGAGTGGTTGGAGTTATGTGCTGCCAGACTGGTGTGTTGGTGGCCGTGTCCAGCACGGGCTTTGCGATGAAGGCGAACTGCTCGTACACGCCCGCGAAGACGCCATCAGTGACCACCGTGTTGCCCACGTACAGCTGTTCGGAAACAAGAGGATTTGCAAGTGAGGCTACATGTTTGGCTGCATAAATTTACGCCAAATTAAAGTGTTAAAAGCAATTTTACTGCAATGTCATCACGATATGTACCACAGAGTACGGGAATAATTCGACGTTCTGAAAGTTATCTGTCAGCTCCATTGATCGACACAACCCACTGCGGAATGAAAAAAAATTCTGATCATAAATCTATATAGTTCAAAATATGTTACGATTTTTAGATCTGGTAATTGGTTGTGGATACAAACTGGAACCAAATCTATAGACATAGACGGAATCGGTAGGTTGCAGAGGTTGATATTCAACTGATGTTCAACTTTTATTTGAGTAATGCAATGAATGCAATAATCATATTCACAGCGTATGATTGTGTTTGCACTTAATTACTACAATATATAATGAATGAATAGCTCCCTGACCATGCTCTGGCGCTTCACCGTAATGTTGTACCCATCATATCTAGGTGGCATTTACGGTGATTTTGCAATTTCGACTATGAAGTTGCACTCACATCTAGAGTTGCACTCACTTTTGAAGTCACACTCACGGTAATGTTGTGTGCTCGTTGAATGAGTGCCACACCATCTCCTTTCTCGATGCGCGGCAGCAGCGACACGCTCACCACAGCGTAGGGCTTCAGGAGATCAATCAAGAGGTACGGGTACATGTCGTCGCCGGAGGAGAATAAGCCGGAGTGGAAGAAGTTATACTTCTCGGTCGAAACGCCGTCGTTGGCGTATTGTGGTTCCCTGCACACCGCAAGAGGCTGCTCACTGGCCAGCTTATCAAGTAAGTAAACAATGCATCACGGTGGAATAGAATTTTTGATTAGTACATCTAGTAAGAGCGCATTGTGCAATGAATATTATTCTCAAGAGTCACAAAGGTATACATACATATTCAGAAGATGAAGTATAATTATATGAGAATTCATTTAGGCAATTTCGAGATGAATTGAAATTGTGCTTTCAGAAACAAATGCTGGTAAATCATTGTAAGCACTCTATTATTTAATCAAATGTCGGAAGGAAATTTACAAAGATTGTGCCAAAGTTTTGGCATCACCACGAGAACGGTTCTCACCAAACATGCGCAACCCAAGTCATCCTGTTAGCTCAACTCAAGCAAGCTAAGCACTTACGGCAGATACACTTTCAAGCGTTCAGCAGATCACCAAACGCTGAACTTATCATACACTTACTCAGCTAAGAGCATAGTACTCACAGTACCATTTAAAATTCATCACCTATATGCCGTGTTGATTACTTAATACCTGGAGAAGCATTTTCAATGAAAGTAGTAACCAAACTGAAAGTGACATACCTCACTTGAGGAAACTTGTACCGCCACAGGTAGACATTTGCAAACAAAGCTAACCCAGAGCGAAAGTGTAAAAACATTGAACACCAAGACGAGTCAGCATCGACCACCAAGTTAATAACATTTGTCAGTCTTAGCTTAAAACGATGTATCTTCAAATTAAATTGACCTAATAGTCATAATTCAATACCTTTCAAATATATGTCAATATACCATTAGCGAAGAAAACGGGAAAACACGTGTTTGATAATTTTTTGCATCAGTAGTGTAACCAATCAATTGAAAGCCCCTGTGTATCTATTCACAAGTGCGTATAGTAAAGCCATCACTCACAGAGGGCGCAGCCGCAGGCCGCAAATTCAAAAATTTTACTCTTGAATAAGCCCTGGAGCCACCGCCTAGCTTCACCGTGCATTAACTTTACTCAGTCTCAGAACTAGAAGCCGCAGACTAAGCTTGAACTCCGTAATCCAGACAAGCGACACACTGCCGAAAGATAATAGCGCTGTAGGTCTCCAGCCTATGCTTAAGCATGCTCGCTCATAAGCAGGCAGTTCCCCATCTGGCTGTACCTACTCCGGCCTAACCTCTTCTGGCCTAACCTATTCACGCTGTCCCGGCTCACAACCTTCTTGCAGCCAATGGCTGGCTCTACCAGCCCACTTGGACCGCCTTTCTAACTTCTTACAGCCAATGAGATTAGAATAGGTCCACTCAGGTTTGTTTTGGTTGGCGAAAGGATGCAGCTTTTATAGGTTAGGCCTGAAGAGGTTAGGCCAGAGGAGGTTTAGCCAGATGCATTATGGCCATGTTTACCTCTAGTAAGCTTATTTTGTGGCTGTGGACATCCGGCGCTATGGCTTCGAGCACTTGACTTCATAGGCCGTTATACCCTCTAGCGTTCTTATACCTATGTGAAGGAATATGAACTAAGTGTGAAGTTTGGCAAAGCTGGCCTCCGGCATGCGCCCCCACTCACATACTTAGCATTTCCACAGTTTCAATCTTTACCGATCCTTGAAATGTTCATTTCCAGCCTGATGGTCCAATCAAAAGAAAACTTGATTCGCATGTATCAAACGCGTAAATAACATGTTTCTTCATCATAAGAGCTACTCACCAATTGTAGGGTGGATTTGAGGGGTATGAGGACGACGCATTCACAGGCTTCCCCCTGGCAACCTCGACCAGCGGGCCCTGGCCACCTGCCAGCTGACGGTACAGCCCCGTGTTGTAGGGGGGCAACACACCCGAACCCAGCAACACGCACCCATCTGTGTGTGGTTACGTGCCTCTGACGAGTGCATAGTGAAATGATCTAAAATAAAAGTGCTATGCGGGCCATCGAATTGACTTGTAATTTGGATTATTAGTTGTAAATTAACCTTCTTCATAGGATTTGATGATTTCTGCATTTATGGTTACTCGTCATGGAATCTCTTTTTTCATGGAATCTACCTAATTTAGCATCGGTTCGATGGAACTGAATGGATGTTTCAAATTATACTTCAGATAATATTTAATGTAATTAGAAGCAGATGAGTACTAATGCAACTCCTGATAGTGATTAATGAATTAATATTTTTGTCGTCTCTTAGGTTTATTTGAATTCAGAGCCTAAGGTCATATACTGTAAATTCCTAAATTGTAAACGAGTTTCAGTTTAATGCATTATTTTTTAAGTATAAGGATGTATATGACTAATAACAATATTATGCTCGGAGAGTACTAGCGAGAAACTTCACGATAATTCTGGAAAGTTGCTGGAAAGCCTTTTTGATTAAGTTAGTCTGCACAGGATAAAATAATAAACATTTCCTACGATTGGGTTTATGTTAAATAAATTGTTAAACTAACCGTCCCCAGTGATGGCGTGCACACATCCCTCCCGCAAGCACATGTTCATGCATGCCAGTCTTTTTGCGCCGGACTGGCGCTTGATGTGCGTGAAGCAGTTGCCCGAGGCGTAGATGTCCAGGCCGGAGCGCTGCTGCGCGTAGACGGAGTAGTTGCTGGGGCAGGCCATGCCATCGCACAGCCAGTGCCCGGGCACCTGCCACGCCTGAATCAGCGCCAAAAAGAGCGCCAACGGCAAGCCTAATGACATTCTAATTTTACCTGGCTAATAGGCAAAATGTATTATGTAGCACACAAAACAATCGTAAGATACTGGGCGATCTGGGAAGAAAATGAATTTCGAAATTGAGCCGATTGAAGTAGTTGCACAAACTTTAGGAATACCAAGTTTACTCTGAATATTCATGTCCAGTAGTTTTCAGATACTTATATAAAACATCCTTAGTGAAATGTCATTCATGAACGCTCCACAAGGTTGTCATGAGTTGTGAGGATTGAGAATAAAGAACAGCGAAAACTGAGGGAAAAGCATATGAAGTAGCAGAGGGTGGAAGAACATTTAAATAGTTTACGTGTGTAAGTTTTATTGTGTGAATGATTATCTTCTTAATTCCGGAGATAGAAGTTATGGAAATTTAAATGCTCATGAGTTCAGCAAACTTTCTCGCCGGTCTACATGCTTAGAATTGTAAATATGCATAGGAATCTTTAGACGGATGGTTTAGCATAAAGTCATTTCAATTAAATTTTACATGCTCATGTGCCGTTGTATCAAATTATTTTCACTTGAGATAATTAAGCTTGGACCGTAAAAATTACACCTCTGGTCATATTTTGGTATGGTCATATTATGGTAGCCCCAATTTGGTCATATTTTTGGTATGTAATGAGGGCTACAATATTTAAATTCCAAGCATTTCAATTTGGCTACCTAATTATATACCTCCGTCCGAATAAAAATCGAAAACTCCTTAAAATTGAAACAGTTTTATAATTATCTTACGAAAAAGTCCTTTACATTTAGGAGATTGATATCTTCCATCAACAATTGCGGATCGATCGGAGGGTTGCGTGACCTGTCATAGCAGCGACTAACTTAACCCTTTACCGCCAAATCGGACTTTCAAGTCGCCTTTCAAAAAAACACTTGTATAGGGACTATTTCTCACTCGTATGGCTCAGCAGCCCAACTGGCCTTCAGATTACACTGCTATGCAAAGCTCTGAAAGAGAATGAGCGGTTTGTTTACATTCGTTCGTCAGTTGCCCAGCGTTGCCAGATGGTATATTTCTATACCAGATTTCACAAATCTGGTATTTTCAGAAGGTGTCTGGTATGAACATTTTAGATCTGGTATATTTGCCTAAATCTGGTATTTTTCTGGTATTTTCTGACTTACTGCAAATTTACTGCATGAAGTTCCACCTCTGAAGTTTGAACTTCCTCCAACGTAGGCGTGGATTATATAGATTACCATCAGAGTGGCGCGAATAGAGGTTTCCCGCCATTTTTGGAACCGCAAGTATACCGCTTGATAAAATAACCCCAATTTAATTGTTAACATTTAACAAAAGTGCTTAGTGCAATATGAGCACGAGAGTGATGATCCTCGATTACTTACTGATCAGTGATGAACTGATGATATGGCCTAGGACGAGTGAGGTTATCGAACCGATCTTTGCGACTCAAGCTCCACCATTTTTGTTTGGTGGTTTTGAATTCTAGAGTTCCACTTATTGGAGTGCCACTTGAATTCTGGGGTGCCATTCAATATTTCACTGATCTTGACAATTATCATCCATTCAGGGAACTGGCTGCCTACTGCATCACTTGTCTACTTTGACTTGTCTCCAAAGCATTCGTGGTGCAAGTGTTTTCACGTCACCTATGTGAAAAACAAGCAACGGAATAAAATTTCAACTAAGGTACTGGAGTCCCTTATTCGGACCAAAAGCTATCTGCTCAACCGCAACAAGTGATCACACCCGAAATGTTAGATTAATGCAATATGGAAGCATGTACGAAAATAAGCAAAATGAAGATGACCTGTTTCCGTGGCTTGTTCATGTTGAGCGAAGAGGAAAAAGTGCCACATTGACACTGATAAAAAAAGGAAAAAGTGTCAATGTAATCGAACACAGGAAAAGAAAATTGTCAAAATGTTCCAGAGGGCAAAAAATATAACGTGTTCAATTTGGCTAATTATCGTCAAGCTAGATAACTGCACAGTACAACATAAGTTAATTTTTTTCTAACCAACGTTTCTGACGAATAGTTTAATTAAATTTTGAGGTATTAGTCTGTTTTTTAACGATAGAATTTCTGGTATATTTTTGGTATTTTGAGCTAGGCAATCTGGTATTCTCGCCAAGAAAAAACCTGGCAACACTGCAGTTGCCCGCCAACTTCCGTGGCGTTATGATATGCGACGCTGCTCTTGTAACTGTCCCTGATTTGACGTGCAATGGAGGATAAACCAGGTTAGAAAATGTTTCAAAATAATTTGTGCATCTTCACTGATATATAAAGAAAGAAAACAATTGCATACATCAGATATTGAGGTGACATTGCTCTAATTCCATTAGTATTTATCGGGTGGATTTAGAAATCCAGTTGGGCTCAAGGTGCCATGAAAGATAGTGGATTTGAAAGTACATCTGGGCGTTGAAGTTGGATAAAATTATGTACAAATTTTTTTTATTTCTAATTTTTGAATGAACAGCGATATTTTTGTCATATGAAAGATAATATTTTATAAATTTCATATTTTTAACATGTTATCAGGAAAACTTTATACAGAATAATCGCTGTTATCCTTTCATTCCCTCCACGAAAGAGATATTGTTTTCGACTGTTTGTTCATTGTAGTTATTTTTTTCAGGATCATCGCGCAACATACTACCTGCTAGTATGTTTTATTCCAAAGCAGCAAAACCCATTGTATTGAGAGAAAAACGCATGGACAGAATGATCGTTTCAGAAGATTTTGACAGTGAATCAGATGGGTTAGATCTATCTGAAGATGACGACATAGAAGATCCTACTTATATATCTATTCTATCTGATGATGAGGATGCAATCCATGATGAAGAAGAAGCTGTAGTCTTGCATATTGATGATGTAGGCGGAAACAATAATGACCCACAAATGGAAAGACCAAAGAGGAAAAAACAAAAATCTAATTATACCTGGAATTCTGTAACAGGAAATCAACCTCCAAAAGAAACTCCTCCTTTTTTGGACATATCAATAGATGAAGATGATGAAATTCTGTCACCCATGACCTACTTCAAAGGGTTTTTTCAGATGATTTTTTGGACCAAATCGTCCACCAATGCAATATATATGCAGTACAGAAAAACCCTAACAAACCTTTGAGTCTTTCGAGAGAAGAATTGGAGCAATGGATCGGCATTTCCTTGAGGATGTCTTTGACCAGGATTGGCTCCACCCGCCAACATTGGTCATCAGAGTGTCTCACTGAAGCGATTGGGGCAGTCATGAGCAGGCAAAGATGGGAGGACATCAAAAGATGTTTCCATTTGGTAGATAATGAATCTATCGACAGAAATGACAAGATTGCTAAAGTAAGACTACTGTTGGATCACCTTCGTCAGCAATTCAAGCAAATCCCTATGACTGAACATTTGTCAATTGATGAGCAGATGGTTCCCTTCAAAGGGGCTTCACGCAGAATCCCTGGTTTATCATTCAAGGATGACAAGAAACTGGCTCTTGCAGGTCGAGGAACTTTTGATGAACATGAAACAAAAAGCGGAGGTACAACTGTGACAGCCATCAAGTGGTACGACAATCGTGCTGTCTGTTTAGCGTCTTCTTTCTCTTCATCTGCTCCAATTGAACAAGCAAACAAGTACGATAAGAAAGCGAAAGAGTATGTAGATGTCCCCATCCCTCATATTGTTAGAATCTACAATGACCACATGGGAGGAGTAGACCTACACGATCAATTCCTTTCATACTACAGGATGTCTTTTCGTTCAAAAAGGTACTACATGCGATTAGTTTTCCATATGATGGACATGGCGGTGATAAACTCCTGGTTGCTTTACCGAAGGGCTGCTGATAAAGCTGAGATACCAAACAGGAAACAAGATTCACTGTCGCAGTTCAAATTGAGACTCTCAAAATCACTCATGATGGCTGGTAAGCAAATGACTCCTCGGCGAGGCCGCCCCTCGTCTGTAGCAAAAGCATACAAGGATAAGAAAATGAAAGGTAAAGCAACTAAGCCCATTCCTGAAGATGATGTCCGACTGGATCGTATCGATCATCTTCCTGACTATGCTGCAGAAAGAGCAACATGCAAAATGCCTGGATGCAAAGCACGAGTTTTGGTGTTCTGTCACAAATGTAATGTCCACCTGTGCTTTGAACGATCTCGCAACTGCTTCAAAAAATTTCACCAAGAATAAGTGCTTTTGAACATGTATTTAGATAATAGATATATGTAGGTAGTGAAGTATTCTGCTGTATTTTTTTAAGTTTTAGAGGGGTTTTATTTTATTCTAGTCAATTGATTCTATTCATTTGCCCAAGTGTATTTTGAAAGCCAGTGTAGATTTTTCCTTCAGAAGCCCAAGTGGATCTTAAAGTCGTGTTTATGTATCTATATACATAAAAATATATTTGGTGATTTCTTCTTATATTGCCTTCCCTTGAGTCAGAAACAACATAAATTCATGATCAAAACATTTACTCACTGCATAAAAATAATTCGGGCGGTAAAGGGTTAACTCATGACCAAGACTAGCCTGAAATGCCCAAAATAGAGGCTGTTTTGGTTCGTTTATCAATGTTCTTGACTGATACCCAAAGAAAGTTTAAACGTTAAAATATTCATATCCAATATCCGGTTGAATGCTCGCTCTCATTAAACGGCTTCTTCACTGCTTCGTCATCAACTCTTGTTCTTTGGATGTGTCCAACATCCTTGGATCAAGGTTCGAGTCTTGGAATGGTTGTGAGTTGTAATGAAATAAAGAATTCATGCAATACGTTATCCACGCGAATGAAGCATGCAACTTACAAACTACACAACAACGATTGCAGATAACAGATTCAATGTCCGAGTGCACCCCTGCACTAACATTGCAAGACTGACAGCCATCGTAAAAAAAGAATTCCTGGTTACAGCCAAAAGTTGTGTGCGCTCATTATACAAGCTCTAACTTTTGGAGTAATTCTAGCATATTCCTATTGATTTGACCTCAAAGTCCGCCAGAAGCTTCTGACACTGAAGATCACTTGCCTTTGCAGTCTTATC